TAACGTTTTGGAGCCATTGTGCTGTGCATGCAGTCAACTCCCGTACAGTTTGGGAGCCACTGTTGCGTGCTTGTGGTGGATTTGAATTTGAAGCTGGTGCTGCCGCTGCTGCTGCTACAGTTCGAACGCCACTGCGCGTTCTGTGTGGTTAAACAAATTATTTTTTTTGTGGAGCTAAAGCTAACAATTTTTAGCATTTGCACTAAACAGATTTATATAAATATATATATATATACATATTTAAATATAAACACATATTTAAACATACTATATGTATATCAATATGTATAATAAACATAAATCGAATTAAACACTAGACTGCAGCCAAATTCAAAATGAAAACAAATTTAACTCATAAAAATAATAATAAAAGCAACAAAAAAGTAAATGAAACGCAGAACTGCATTGCACAACTCGTAGTAAATTAAATGTTTAAACAATAAATGACTGCATAAAACAAATTTGACGAGCCAACAATTCGTATTTGTGGCTAATGAAATGAAATAACACAAATAGTTAAACAAAAAAAAAAAAAACAAAAACAAAAAAACTATACGCAAATCAATTTAACGAATTTTTCTACACATTTAATTTAAAAGTAATATACTACACATACAAACATACATATATATATGTAAACAAAAACCATTTATCAATATTTATGCATACAAACACACACACACTTACTCATAATTTCATAAACACTCACACAGACACACATAAATATATATTTAAATTATGGCTATATTAAATGAAAAAGCAAATTTTAGACAAAAAGCAAGAATAAAAAAAACTATTTCCTATTTGCAATTGAAATTTAATTTAGTCAGCAAGCTAATTAAAAGAAAAAAAAAAAAACAAAAGGCAACTAAATAATATTTATAAAATATTTAAAAAAAAACACTAAAATTGTAATAATTGTGAACACGTACATATATTTGTATAAATTAGCGAAATTGTGTGGGACCTAAAACGACAACAACAAAAACAACAGCAAGATCATATTAAAAACAAAAGTAAACAAACAAACAAATAATATAAAAATGAAAAATAATAATTAGTTTGAGCGTGATTGAAGCGCTTTGTTTTTTTGGGCCAGCAAATAAGCCAGAATTTCAAAAGTGAACAAAAAATTACGTAAATGTTAAAATTAAATACAAAATATTTGAGATTGAGATTGTTGATGAACGGAAGCTGTATATACTATAACTTATAAACTTATCATATAACTATAACATTTAATTATTTCTCTCCATACAATTATTATATATTACATATTTTTAATTTCATAGCTGAAATTATGCCATTTCTTGAAATGTTTGCAATTTATTGTTTTGATTTTTTAGTTTCATCTTTGGTTTTATATATATATATTTTCATAAATATTATTTAATATTTTGATTTGTTCTTTTTTATGCAAAATATTATTTTAAAATAAACAAACAAAAAAACCAACACATGAATCTGTGTGTAAAAAAGTATTTATTTTCCTTCTTTCTCCTTAACTTTCATATATTATAAAAAAAAAAAAAAATTAAAAACAAAAACGAAAAAATACTCTCAAGTGCAATTATATAAGCTGTAAAACTTTCTGCTTTTTCTCAGCTGCTAATGGATGTTCGATTGATTGGCAAAAATTGGCAGAAAATCTTACAAATTGAAAGACTTGAAAATGAAAATTGTTGGCTGATTGATGAATGGAAATTTAATTTGTGCTAGCGATTCAATAAAAATCAATTGCATATATTGCATTAAACAAAACCAAAACAAAAATTAAGTAATTCATGTATATACGTATGCCTATATATATAAATATATATATATATATCAGATGTGCTAGCATAACCAATGAAACAAGCTGGAAAACGATAAAAGAAAACAAAAAGCTATAAAATCTTATTTAATGTTATCAGCAAAATATATATCAAAAGGAAGCATAATAAAATTAACTTTTTCAAGGCTATAAATAATAATAAAAAATATTACAAAAAAAAAAAAAATACAAAATGGAGTATATAGTTTGAAATTGGTTTTTGTTATCGGACGAGGGATTCTTGGTGCTCAAAGGACTCTAACTCATTTGGTTTCATAATTACACTTTTTTAATATTTTATAATTATTTTATATCCACTTTTTGTGCACTGCTTCTTCAGGGAATATTTTGGCCAATAATTGTTTTCGCTTAGGTAATAATGTGAATCTACAAATAGGTTGGATAAAGAAAGAGTTAGACTAGTTAGGAACCAGACTATATTTAATAAATACATATTAGTAAGTTTTAATTTTATTTAATTTTTCTTACACTCATTGAAATTGGGAAATCAGGATATATTTGCCCTTTTTTTGATCAACTTTAATATATATTGATTTTAATTAATCATTTTATTCATGCACTCCTATTTCAATGAAAATATTTAAAAGTATAAAAATTTTCGGATAACGGGTGCTAAATTTTATCTCTAGCCCTAACTATTATTACTTAATATTTTAATTGAATTTTTTTAGTCTAAAAAAAATATATTTAAATTACATAAATAAATTTATTGAGATAGGCCGATTTCCCTGGCATTCCATATGGATATTACCCCAACTCCAGACTTTACCGCTAAATTACAACATTGCACAAATAAAACACAATAGTTAGGTATGCGAAACGCTTTATTATCAATTTAGCTTAACGGGGTTTTCTTTTTAGCATTATCAAAATGTTTTGGGAGTACATAGTTCGCGATTTCTCGTTATTGTATTTGCAATTGTTTAGCATGATGCAACATTACGGCGCACTACTACACATTATCATTTTTCGCACATATGTAATGTATGTATAAAAATGTAAGTATATTGCTAGAATATTGTACTATGAATGCTGTATAATGGTTTATAATCGAAGAGGTTGGCCATTATTATTATTTTTTTTTTTACCATATATGAAAACTATTTTTAAATACGTATGCAAGTTGTCTGTCTGTCTCTCGTTCAGTCAGTCTGTCTCTCTGTCTGTCGTGTTGTTGTGTGTACATTGAGTATGTTGAAGACATAGGTCAATCCCCCACATAATATCACCTTGCTTGCTGTCAAACCTCTGTTGAACGCATTTCAAAAATAAAATTAAACAAATAAAATATATAACTACAACAATGAAACGCGTTCAATTGGTTTTAAGCGCAAGCAAAGCGCCAATTCGTGATCAAACAAATGTAAGAAAATGAAAAGCACAAAGCTGTCAACAAGGCAGAAAGGAACGTCCGCTATTGGCTGAATGATGGCTCATAACGCGCCCGGCTTCAGGGAAAACGATAATTTTGGTCTTGAATTATTTTTGCCCAATATGACCTTTTGCTCCTCCTTGACACGCTTCTCCTGCTCTTTGCGCATACGCTGCCGCTCCTCGTCCATCAGACGCTGCTCCTCAATGATAGCTAAGCGCTCTTCGGCCTGTTGAACGGATAGATAATATCAATGAAAATGTTTCAGGTTTATCTAGATATATTCACTTACCAATTTTCTTTGAGCCTCCTCAATTTTGCGATTATTTTCGGCCAAAATTTCTTCGAGCTCTTCGCGTTTTTGCTTTTCCTCCTCCTATAAAACCCAAATAAAATGGCGTATTAATAAATCAGATTTAATGCTTCGGCGAATGCTTAAATCTAGTTATGATTATATATATAAACGGTGGTATCTTTAACATCGGTGACGCAGACTTTGCGGCGGCATTGGACGCAAGGTAATCTTATTTTGATGGGCTGCATATAGATATACATATGTATTAAAGATCTAATTTAATGTTCAACAATAAGTTACATAGATATATTTGTAGAAAATAAAAAATAAACATTTAGTAGTGTCTAATAAAAAGGTTTAAATAATATGTTTTTTTTTCTTGCAAATTTAATGTTTAACAATAAGAGCACACAACATTAACAAATGTACTTAAATTTGATTTTCTTTAAATTTGGTTTTCAATTTTTTTCTTTTCTTTTATTCTATTTTTTGTTTGTTTTTGTTTTATTTTTGTTGCTACTTACTATTGAAATAGTTCATTTTTCCAGTTTAATGGCTAAATCATTTTGTTAATTTTTGGCTGTGCTGCGAATTTGTATTTTGATTTACGGTATTCAGCTACATAGTTGTTTAATCAGAATTACATTACAATTTTTTTTTTTTTTTTTTTTTTTTTTTTTTTTTTTTAGTTTAGGAATCAAATTATAATAGCGTTTCGACCAAACGATAAATGTTTGAAGAAACCAAACATACATCAAATTAATATTTGTGGCACGACAACAACAACAAGTTCAGTCATACCCATTGATTGACAAATGGTTATCCGGGCTTATGAGTTACGATATAACAATCTTATGTCTGATCGGCTTTGATTTGGTTGTCCTATGTCGAATGTTCCTAGAGGGAGAGCTTAGAGTCCTTAAAGACTATTTGTTTTTTTTTGTTTATTATATGCATTTGCATTTGCAATGCACTCGAATGATGATTGTTCCATTCACTTAACACACTTCAGGTTTGTTTATATCCATTTAAGTTTTTCACACGTTTCGTTTTGTTTAACGAACTCTCACTCACCCGTTTATTGGTATGAATAGGCGCCCGTGTATGGGGGATCTATTAGGGATTTGGCATGCATCGTACTGTTGGAACTAAGGAAAGCTATGCTAAGCCCGCCCTCACACCCAAACACTGTACTGGCTAACAGCTACTGAGCTTGATCGACTACACTGCGATAAACGATATACGCGATACGTGATACGTGTTCGGGTTACGCTATACGGGATACGTATGTGGGTATACGTGTGTAGTACATCGTCAAGGATTTCCTAGAGAGCTGATTGGTGCTCTCATCCGTGTGGCCGAATTCTCATCGTAAGCATTAGCTCCGGCTAAGGTGGGGGCTGAATGGTAGCAGAGCTTCACATACACATATACAATTCTGTATACGTATGTGTATATATTGTGTTTTGTTTACTGTTCGGTCTGCTTTGAAGTAATGATGTAATCCCATCTCTCCTAAACACAGACACACTCTCACACACGCAGGCACACACCCACACACACATTTGATCGAAGCATAGTATTGCGCGCATTATGTAACAACAACAACAACCAGTTACAGAAACCAATCAAAATGAAATCAAACAAGAATAGATGAGGCTAAAAGTAACACAAAAATTGAATTATGCACTTTTGTGGGCGTCAAAACTGCAAGAGACATTTTTGGCTTTTGGGTATTTGTCTTTCGTTATGTTTGGTTTGTAGAAAAAAATAAATAATAATAATTACAAAATTTATTTGGCAATAGTAATGCGAAATGTGCAACGACGTGGCCAGCGGCTCAGCGTTTGTTTGTGTGAGTGTGTGTGTGTGCTGCGGTCATAAGCCAAAAGGTTAAACCGTTTAATTGGTATGGTATGAAGGTAGGTTAGTGGATTAGCAGTGTAAAAAGAACATCAATAGGTTTACGTGAATGAATATTAGCTAAATTTGTATACACACACGCACACACACTCAGGGACAAACTGAGCCTTTAGCATCTGCTCATTACAGTTGGCAACTGAAAACGTCGCTACACAGTTTCGTAAATGAGTTTGTTCAAGACGACTGTTTGCAACTGCTATTGGTATTGTACATGTGTGTGTTTTTCGGTAGTTGTAGTCGAAGGCTGTATACTGTGCGTGTGTTGATAGTTGATAGTTTGGGTATTTGTGGTAGCAGCAGTCGTCCAGCGAAATGTGAATACGAGCACCTACCTCGCGACGGCGTTCTTCTTCGCGTATCTGCTCGCGCCGCTTCTCCAGCTCCAGCATCATTTCACGTTCCATTTCAGCTTTGGCTGTCTCGACGCGACGATTCACCTCCTGTTCGATTTCGTCGCGTCGCTTCTCGAGCTCCTCTTCGACACGTTTCTTGACGAGCATTTCAATGCGCTTGGCCGCCTGCTCTTCGATCGTTTTCTGCTCAGCTTCCTTTTGTCGACGCTGCCGTTCCATTTCGGCAAGTCGCTCTACCTGAAGTAAATTTTGCTGCAACCGAAGAGAATAATCAAACTGGAGTACATTAAATTGCTGGGCAGCCAATGCTTACCTCATCCAGTTTCTTGAATCGACTGCGCTTGTGTCGACTGCGCTGCGTCTCGTGATCCGAGTACTGCTGGCTATCACTGCTTGAGGAGCTGGAGCGTTTGCGGGATTTGGAGTGCGAGTGCCGGTGATAGTCGCGCTCTGTGTGTGTGTGCAGGTGCGTGTGAGTGTGCCTGTCGCTGCGATGCCTATCGCGCTCTCGCCGACCATGATTAATATCCGCTGACTTTTCTCTATCCGTGCGACTGCTGCGGGTGCAGCTACTGCGCTCGTGCTCGTGGTCCCGTTCCCTGTCGCGATTGTGTGACTTACTCTTGCTGCGTTTTTTGTGTTTGCTCTTGTGATGGCGGCGTTTCACTGACGGACTGCGCGAACGAGAACCCATTATTGTATATGTTAATCAATTAAATTGCTGCCGTTTTTAGAAAATTTATTCAATGCCTTTTTTTGATTAGTTTCTCACAACAAAATCAATCTACAGATGCCTTAAAAATAGTGTTGCAGAATGCCGTCATGCTGCCATTAACTGACAACGTTTACAGCACTATTTATTTGGTATTTTTACGGGCATCCGCAATTGGTGCGATTCTTATCCACGTTCAGAATCATTTCATGAAACTTTTCAATCATCACTTGATTGTCCTTAAAGCCAACACATTCCTTCGCCGCATCCTTTGGAAGCCATTTAAGCTCTGTATGTTCCTCGGAAAGAATAACTTCTTGGTTTGGATTCCGTAACTCTGCCAGCCAATAGATAACAACCTTTGGTTTACCTTTGACCTCATAGTTTAGAGTGAGTGGCGTGTCGCGGTATATAATCAAATCCTTTTCATCGAAACTACAATCCAAAATGAGTATAATTAACGGTCAAAAAGCTACACTTTGTTTCATATGCACTTACCCGGCTTCCTCCTTTGTTTCGCGCAGCGCTGTAGTAAAGTCATCTTCACCAGGATCCACATGCCCTTTTGGGGCGCTCCAGTGAAAATCACCATATGAAGCTTTTAGTAGTAAATATTGGATTTCTCCACATAGGCGCCGAAAAAGGACAAATCCAGCTGCTCTTTTGCCCATCTTTCTCGTAATTAATTTATAAGTGTTGAAAAGTAATTTAAATTAACGCTCTGTAGTTACTGACCTGGCATAGAATAAATTAATTTAAATACTGAATTTTTAAAAATCAATAAAAATAATAGCCGTTCTAAACGATTGTGTTTGTGGTTGTCTAATTTTAAGAATACCTATTTTGTAATGCTAAAGCAACTACTGCAAATTATTTGCTATTTGTAAATGTAAATTGTATTGCAAAATGTATTTTTTTTTAGCCGAGACAACCACCAGCACAAAATGTGCAAAAAAACGCTTGTATTCAAAAAATGCGCGCTTTGCACCGCTTACAACACTGGCTGATTAGTTTACATAGATTGAAGCCGAGCACGTTGTGTTTGATAAATTAAGTTATATAAATAATATACAAGTTGCAATAGAAATGTTTGCTTTATTGCGTCGTTTGACGTGCGCATCAATCACAAACAGCAGAAAGCTAAACCAGGTGCGATGCTATGCGTCCTTCTCGGTAAGGGATGTATTGCGAGACACTTCAGATGAGACCGGTACGCTGCTGACCCGCTTTGCCAAGCACATAGCCATCGACCGCTACAAGTGCGAGGAGCACGTGCTGCCACCAACGAAAATTCGCTATTCGGACTACTTTCCCATCACGGATGAGCATTACTTTCGACGCTCCGTGCAGCAGACAGAAGCTTCACAGCTGCCGGCACTAATCATACATGCATCCAGCTATCGTTCGAATGCAGTACCAGCCATGTATGCCAAGGCCTTGAATGTGTTGGATGCGCATGCAACTGCACAACTAGACAAAATGGACGTTTCCACTGTGCTGGAGACGCTCTATGCATTTCTGTTTCTCATCCCAAATTGGCTGAGGCGCATCGATTTCTATCATGCGGCCATGCGACGTTTGGTGCAGGAAGCGGCTGGCAGCAAGCAGCGTTTTCTGCAAATCTGTTTCTATTTAGGCCTGCAGAAGCAATATCAGCAAACTGATTTGGAGACGCTGCTTGCGACGCAGCTTGGCAAGCACTTGGCGAACTTAACTCCTCTGGATCTGGCTCTAGTTTGTAATGCTGCCTATAAAACTTCGACTTTGGTGACCGGTGAAGTGCGTCAGGCCTATGAGACTGCCCTGGTGGATGCAATTCTGAACTTAAAGCTTGACGGGGATAGCGTTCCGGATGATTCGCTGCTTGTTTGCTATGTGAAGGCATTGCGCTTCCAACGCGTGCACGACGAGCGAATCTGCCACCATCTGCAGAACATTTGCCTGGAGCCCACACAGCTAACAAAACTTCAGCCGCGAGGCTTGGCACACATATTTGCGTACTTTGCTGAGATGCTGTGGGATCAGCCAGAATGCATGCAGGCCCTTGTGGAACGATTATTGAGTTTTAATCCCGGTGAACTGCGTGCCAAGGACGTGTCCACATTCCTCTGGAGCTGCGCACAGTTGAATTGCAGCTTAACTGCGGAGCAGCTGAGACAACTGGAAGTGGTTGCATTACGTAAATTGAATAACGGCGAGTATGACCGTTTTCCCGACCAACTAGTGGATGCATGTCTCTCTTTGGTTATTCTGGGTCACCACTCGAAGCAGCTGTTCGACGGGGCCGAGGAGCTGAAGGCCGCACAACATCAGCGACAGCGCGCACAACCCAAAGTGGACAGCCGTTTAACTGTGCTGCGATCTGCTGTGGCCATAGAGCATCCCGCCTGGACGGACGTCAAGACGAAGCAGGCCTTCAAGGAGCTCGCCCGTGCGCCCGCCTATTTGCTCAGTCAGCGTGAGGATCTCACTGCATACGCCAATCAGTTGTCCGCAGATTCCGAGGTGGAAGGCGTTGACTTGGTATGCCCCATTACCGGCATCAATTTGCCCAGCCTGCGTGTCCAGACCCAAGGCGAGCAAGCCAGCATATACTTTATAGAGCTGCTGACGCCACAACAGACGCTGAAGTTCAGTCGATCGGCGACTTCCTTGCTGCGCTTGAAGCGGAGACTGCTGGAAGCGGTGGGTCAGCGCGTTGTGCTGGTAAGTAAACGATCCTAATCTTCAGCGAAGCCAATCTAATTCTAATTCCAATCTCTCCTCAGCTCCATTCTGGTGAGATGGCATCCAATGCTCAAGCGCTGCAACAGCTTTTGGAGCAAACAGCAACTGCCAAGAAGGAGCTAAAGCAGGCAGCACAAGGCGTGAACAATTGAAACGTGTGATATAGAGTCTACGTGCTATAGATTTAATTAACAAGTGTTTTATTAATGTAATTAATTTAGTAAAATTAACACTAAACGTAATTTTCAACAATTTATATATAATACAAGTGGGCAAGTTTGCTTCTTGGTATGGCAGCGCTCATCGGATCGACTTGAGCTTGGCCTTGAGCACAAAGTAGGCGCTCACACGGAAGAGGAGCAGCATTATGCTCAGCGCCATGAGATCGTTCCAGAACTGATCGCCCGACATGGCAATCTCCTCCAAGAACTTCTTTGGGTATCTGTAAGAGTGTAAGATGTTAAGTAATCCACTTCGTCAGCTGCTGATCTACTTCCTTACCTATAATGGCAGTAGGGCGCCTCGTTGCAGTCCAAAACCCCACGATTCATTCCATAGATGGCAGCTATGTAGCCCTCGAGACCATATCGCAAATGGGATATGTGACTGCCCCACTTTAGGTAGCTGGGTAGGTCTCGCAAAGTGACGCCAAAGCCGGCGAACATCATCATGGGAATAGTGAGCACGGGAGCAAGGAAAGTTCCGTTGACCACATTGCACCAGGCGCCAATAATCAATCCAAAACTTTGACCCACAAACACAACAAGCAAACTGATCACGAAGAACATCCAGAAGCGCACCCACTCCATGGGCTGATAGCTCCACCAATAAATTATGACCGTGAACAGGAGTGTACTGATAAACTGGAAAACAGGTGAGACATGAGATATACTAGACTTTCCTCTCTAGTTAAGGCTATGGTAATTACTGTTATGGGTATTTCCAAGAGCGTCATGGCTGTGTAGTAGGCCTTCAGGGAATACCAACGATTGAAATGTTCCTTGATCAATATTGTCATCTCAAGGGGGACTACAATTAAAGAGAAATACAATTGGATCAGTCTCTATGCCGATCGGCGCAATCTCAGTTGCTAATAAATCTCTACTCACATGTCAGAACCGTCAACATCATCGTCGTCATGGAATGGTGCATCAATATGGCAAACAGAAGATTATAATTATCCAAAACTCGTGAGCCCTCCTTGCCGGAGTGATCGTACATTGCGCCGTAGAGTACGGCCACACAAATGTTGACGAAGAGCCGTAGATGGGTCATTGTCGTATCGCGACCGGACTTGATGTAGCCACGTCGTAGCAGCACAGTGCACTGATTCATAAAGCTGGTGTTCTCCAGGGAAACGTTTTTACTACGCTTGGGTATGGGATGCTTGTGGATGAGCGCCTCGGAGCGCAGCACAGCGCTCGGATTGTTGAACCAGGCCAGACTGCTACCGTTCTCCGACGCTGACTTAAGCGTATCGATCTTGTCGAAGCCGTACTCCCCGCAGGCCAGCTCGATGACTGAGTATGGAGAGAGGGGAGAGAGAAACGTCAACTATGTTTACAGTTGGTCTTAAGCGACACTCACTGTAGTCAGCTGGATTGTGGTACATAGGACAGGGCAGATCCACGGACTGGAGGAAGGGCACCAGCTTCTGGGTACCGCCCTGGTAGACGCAGTTGCCGGAAGAGAGCACATAGACTTGATCGAATATTTGGAATAGCTTGGCAGTCGGCTGATGTATGGTGCAAATGATGGTGCGACCCTGGGTGGTCAAGCGTTTCAATAGCTCCAAGACTTTGCTGCAGGAACTGCTGTCCAAGCCACTGTTGGACAGAGTAAAGCGAGAGATTGAGAATGGCCGTTGACTAGACGAAAATGTGCACCTACGTTGTGGGCTCGTCCAGAAACATCACAGTGGGATTATTAATCAATTCCATGGCAATGGATAGCCTCTTCTTCTGGCCGCCAGACAGCCGGCCTGTCATCGTCTGATCGTGGTCGTAAAGGCCCAGCAGCAACAGAATGTCCTCAATCTAGAAAATGGTAAGTCATGCTTGAATGAAGTTTCATAAAGATGCAAAACTTTTGGCTTACTCTGCTCTCCTTCTCCTCGTAGCTGACATTCTCACCCAATTTCAGATCGGCGGCTATATGCATGTTCTCGGTCACCGTCAGCAGAGGCTGCAGACGATCATCCTGTGTAATATAGCAGGACATGCGACGAAATGAGGCTGTGATCGAGATATACATATATATTTATATTTAATCAATTAAATATTTTTCAATTTTCATTTTGAAATAAACTCACGCAAATCACGTCGTCGTCCATTGAGTCGTATGGAACCATCGACGCCGGTGGTCTTAAATCCAGAAAGAGCATCGAGTAGCGTCGATTTACCAGCTCCCGATGGACCCATAATGGCAATTAGCTGGCTGCCGGGAAACTTGCCGCAGACATTGTGCAGAATTTCCTTTTCACCTGTTGAACATAAATTTATAAACCGTCAGTTTTCATCTTGATTATCGAATCATTCTACAATAAGTCGTTTTGCCTGCTAATAGTCAATTACACTTATACCAAACCAAACAGATTAAACCAATAGAAAATCTGATTTATGAGAATCTTATTTATTAACACTTAGTGTGTGACCAGTCATAGCGACAGATTATGGAATCGATGAAAACAAGTAAGGGAAAGCCCAGCTAGGAGATACCTTGAGCTATTATTCTAGTTTCATTTCTATCTACGAAGCAAACAGCGTATGCTAGAACAAGTAAGAGTATTTATACTTCATAGGAATTAACTAACTTCCTCTGCCTATTACAGATACTCTTATAAACACATTATAGATTGAATATAAATTATTAATGGGCTTATTTCTTTAATGCATATATTAGCATATACTAAAACTGGTAATAAATTGTGCGCCAGTCGATTAGCTCTTAAAGGTGAGGCCTTTATTTAATGATAAACATTAGAGAACAAAACATTAGAGAACAAAAGCAGAGATAATTACGTTATGGAGCGCTGTGCTAACGTATAATCATTCGCGTACTGCAAGCGAGTAACCGGCCAAATATTAACTGTGATATGAAAAGTTAACACGTTTAGCTTCTTGGACTTTGATATTGTATATATTAAAGATATTTGTGATAGGGTACCTCCAAATAATACTCATTAAAATTTTTTTAGGTAAATATATGTA